AATCGAACCGGGGGTAAGATAATTTGAGCTTCAAGGGAGACAACAAAAAACACACACAACTCGCGATACGAATCAACTCGAGGCGAGGTTATTACAAGCACAAATACATAGTAGTAGTTCAAATTCCTAACCTTCGATGGGTTGCCTCCAACAAGCGCTTCTTTAACGTCTTAATCTTGACGGTTGGAGATCAATCACGACTTCAAACGTGATGCTAGAGAGCGGATCCACCACACTCTCTGGGCGAGGCTTGTAGCCTCCCATCTTAGCTCGTTGAGTTGGCCCTCTTGGTTGGCCAACATTGTTTCGGCCTCCCCCGTCTTCCGGGTCAAACCTCCTTCATCCTTCATCTCCAAGAATTCAATCTTGGTCCTTTGGGCTTAGGACTCTTCTTAACTTCCTGCTCAACATCATCAAAGACATCACAAGTAACGGTGGGGTTTTCCTTGAGAGGCTTTCCTCCACTATCATTCACATCATTGGAAACTACCCCTTCACTTCATCACTCCTCACACTAGGATCAATTTCAAGCTTGATTCTCTCCTTACCATCCCTCAAAATTAGTTTCCTTCATTAACGTCTATCAATGCCTTGGCGGTTGCAAGAAAGGGACGACCGAGGATGAGGGGCATATCCGAGTCCTACTTATGCCGACAATCACGAAATCGGTCGGATAGCAAAACGTGCCCACTCTCACCATCATGTCCTCCACTATACCTCGCGAGCTAATGACCGACGACGGTCGGGTAAGGTGATGCTAAGCTTAGAGGTCTTAAGTTCACCTACTTCTAACTTTTGAAAAGCTTGTAGGGCATCACATTCACACTAGCTCATAGGTCCGCCAAGGCATTGTCTATATGGTGATCACCAATATCAAGAGGATAGTAAAGCTACCTGGGTCGGACCGCTTTTTGGGCAAGCGATCGAGGAGGAAAGCCGAGCACTCCTCGCCAAGAGTCACGTTGGCGAGGCCTTCAAGCCTTGGCTTCTTAATGAGGATCCTTTGAGGTACTTGGCATTATCTTGGCATTTGCGCCATGGCTTCGAGGAACGGGATGTTTAGGTGGAGATTGCGTAGCATTTACATGAACCCTCCACACTCCTTGTCCAACCTCTCCTTTTATATTATTGTGGGCTAAGGAAGAGGTGGCACATATCCATCCTCCGTCAATGCTTTCCTTGCCGCCTTCCTCTCATTCCTCGTGGGATTCTTCTCTCCCTTTTTCGGGTACGTTTCTTCCATGTTAGAATCCTCATTCTCACCACTTCATTAGTGGCAACTTTCGGAACCACCTTCACACTTCTCACTTGAAAGTGCATTCACCCCAGCTTGATTGGGATTCGCCCGGTTTGGGAAGGCAAGGCTCCTTGGTCTCTCAGTGAGGAAAACCGGCAACGTTGCCGATTTGCACTTCCAAGCTTTGAAGGCTCACTTGATGGCTTCGAAGACCCGCCTCAACTGAGGTAAACTTTGTGGTCGCCACATCCATAAATTGCTTATCTTCTCAAACTTTTGGCTACTCGTACTCACAAAGGTGTTCACTAGGTCCTCAAGCTTGGATAACTTGTCGGGTTTAAGTTGTTGTTGAAACCCTAGGTCACCTTGTGGTTGGTACGGTTGTTGAAAGTTGAGCCTTGGAGTTGGAGCCTTTGTTGGATGAAGGTTGGCCGAGGTTGGAAGTTCCCCGTGGGGCCTTGAAACCCGGGGGCCTTGATTAGCCGGTGATGCCCAAGCAAAGTTGGGGTGGTTCCTCCATACGGGTTTCTAAGTATTGCTATAGGGTTGTTGACCCTAGCATTTGACATAAAGTTGACTTGCTCCTCCGCAGTGGTTGCCTCCTTCATGTTTGGCACTCCGTCATCTCGTGGCTATACTCGAGCACAGTCGCACGACATTACCGCCCGTTTTCCTTGCCCTTTATCATCAAGCATAACCTCAAGAAACTTATCCAACTTTGCCTCAAGCGGAGCACTCTCTCCCATGCTTCTCACTCCCCTTTCATGGCTTCTTCTTCCACTTCTAGTGAACCCCCAATCATACCCCTTAAGGGCCATGTCTTCTTGGATCTCGGTTATTTGGGGTG